TTCACCTTGATCTAACCCTTTGTCCATGCAAGAAAATTTTTTGAAATTGGCAAGGCCAATAAATTGCCTTGCCGCTAGGATGGTATACAATGGTGGAAGGGGTATCTGCCAGAATTAGCAAAAGAGATTAGGATTGGACTCTTTTATATATTTTGTTAAATTTTGGTGCCAATCTATTGCCGTAAATAAAAACAGATCCATGTAAAACACTTATTGAAGGCAATGTAAGCAATTTCTTAGTAAATCCACATTCCTAGTATAACGTAAATAGAGGCAGAGGACTTCGATCCAACGAGAAGAATCCCTTAGAGAGTTTTATTTGACCTGCGATATCTGCTAATAGCTTTGGTCATTAAACGCGCCACTTTAAGTCGTCGAAAACAGAGTGGAGTACTGCAGACAACTGAAACAAGATACTAAGACTGAAATTATATCTGCCTCTATTTTGCAGTCTAGTTTTGGCACTTACTTGTGTTGCCCAAACAACTAACACGCCTCTCGCATATATATCCACCTCTTCGTTTCGTACAGGGTAAGTCATTAAACAGTCCATAATACTTTCTATAATTCCTGTACATTTCAGTACATTCTCCATCACCACTGGGTTGGCTTGGTGACCAAGGAGTTCTTCCCCGAGACACATTTACTGAACTGTTGTTACTTAACCATAACCACCGTCCGGAACCTCGCTCCTTCTTTAAACCGATGAAATATTCACTCGCAGGGAAGCTTTGTATCACATTTTTCAAAGCGGTCCACTCGTCGCTGCTTTCCAATGAAACAAGGTCGCTTCCGAATTCCTTGCACAATCGGCGGCTTTCATCCCAACTAACCAGCTTTTTTTTCGATGCCACATGGAACGTGTAATTGGAACAGCCATAAATAAACGTGTGACCTATTAATAAAAAGGGCGAAATCATTCAAATAATTTTATTTCATGTACAGTTAGAAACGGTCAAGAGATGCTTTTAATATTCTTACAATCTATTATCCGAGACGAAAAGCGTCCCTCGTTTTCATAAGAGGCATTTTTTGATAACAACAGCAATAATAATAATAATAAGAACAAGAATGACAATGATAGTTAATTCGATTCTCTCCGATCCTCTCCTTGGACTAGTGGACGGGAGCGTGTATAGGACTGTAGTCCTGTTTAAGGTCAGGGGCACCCAACGTCAATTTTCGGAAAATATCTGTTCGGAAGACGATTTGAGATCTAGGATTTTCGGAACATTTGTTGTAAAATTTCTTGCTTGCCTGCCTCTCCTAGAATTTTCGAACATCTAAAAAGTGGTATAGTTCCCCATTTTTTAACGGATTTTTACCCTAAAAAGGTCACCTAGAATTTTCGGGAGCCCTTTTTCCGGCTGAAATTTTCGAAAAGGTAAGTTTTGATCCCTATAATTTTCGGATCACTAGACGTTCAGCTAGGAAATCCGAACAGATGAAAAATTTTTAGAGGATAAAAATATGCCTATATCTACCGTTTAAATACTAAAATACGTTCAACAATGCTATGTTTAAGTGGTTTTGAAATATATTCTCGTTGGGTGTCCCTGGGTACAAGCACTAACTCTCATCTCACTGTCCAGTCTTACCAACGTTCCCTTGAACCTGCATCATCAAACTTAACAAAACAAGAGCTGTGATCTGGGCGAAACATAGTAATTTTTCCATATCCTACCCACGAGTTGGTAGTATGTTGATACACGACTAATAACGACTCGAAGGAAATGATGAACGGTTGTTTAGAATGACCGATTTTAAAGCCTTGCACTTCAGTTAATTGTGGTTGACTCGCTTGTTTTGCTGCTACACCGAGTTGATACCAAAAAGTTGAATCACGTAAAACACCTAAACATTAACAAAATAATCATCAAAGCGACACAGGACGTACTAAATAACCGTAGAACTGGATTTATTACTAAAACTTTTTGGATTGTTGTCAACATTATAGATGTTTCTAAACCCGCGAACGGCATCAGTAAATTCCCTTTTTAATACCGTCGCTAGTTAGTTTCTAAATTATCATTCGTTCTTATAGCTAGACAACACCTCATCATGATCAAATGATTTCAAAAAGCGTTAACAAGATATTTGTCTTGGATAGGACGTGCCTGAGAGTTGAGGAACCTTAGAAACAGGGCTACAGCTGCCGCACATCCCGACACATCCCGCTATTTGTGCTGGAGCATAAACGGAAGTGTCGTCACAAGCGGAAATTTGAGGAAAGAAACCTTTGTCCTATTTTAGTTAGTTAGTTAGTTATTTTAGTTAGTTTAAAAACACTCACGTCGCAACCTAACTAAAATAGGACAAAGAAGGTTTCTTTCCTTAAACTTCCGCTTGTGACGACACTTCCGTTTATGCTCCAGCACAAATAGCGGGATGTGTCGGGATGTGCGGCAGCTGTAGCCCTGTTTCTGAGGTTCCTCAACTCTCAGGCACGTCCTATCCAAGGCAAATATCTTGTTAACGCTTTTTGAAATCTTTTGATCATGATGAGGTGTTGTCTAGCTATAAGAACGAATGATAATTTAGAAACAAACTAGCGACGGTATTAAAAAGGGAATTTACTGATGCCGTTCGCGGGTTTAGAAACATCTATAATGTTGACAACAATCCAAAAAGTTTTAGTAATAAATCCAGTTATACGGTTATTTAGTACGTCCTGTGTCGCTTTGATGATTATTTTGTTAATTTTTAGGTGTTTTACGTGATTCAACTTTTTGGTATCAACTCGGTGTAGCAGCAAAGCACCGATAAAATGCAAGCACTAACGGATGCATTCATTATTATAAGGCCAAGAGAATTTAATGCTACCTTGGTGCAAATAAGTTTTAACTAGGAACACAGTTTCTAATTTCTGTTTTACCTTTCTTTGATCTAGCTGCGCCCATAAGTCGGCAATTCCTGCCAATCGCCAGGGAAATTCTATGAGAGGCTTCTCATGCAGTTACCTGAGAGCGTACAAACTAAAGGACTTGACAAAACCAAATAATTATATGAATTATAATTTTGTGAAAGAAAAAAATATACGTAGAGTACTTATTTTCTTAGCTCAGCCGACTGAACGACTGAACCTTCCTATTTCAGAGAAAATTTGAGCCTTAAAATTTTCTTAAATTGTAAATTTTAAATAAATTCAAATGTGTGGAAAATGGGGTTGACTTGTCCGCACGACTCTTACCTCGTATTTTGAAGAATTTGAGGATGAGCTGTAAGGGGCAGGCATTATATATACACTAACATCCAAGCATATATTAACTAATTTTTTTTGTGGTAATTTCTCTATGCCCTGTGTTGATTTCAGTCTGAACAACGTTGTCACGGTGTTTTAATTTAAGTTTTTCCCATTCTCACTGTTAATTTTCTGAAAAGAGAGATAGAGAAATCAAAAAGAAGGTATTGAGGATGAGCGTTGCAAACAGCCTAACTAGAGCGTCAACAAGAGGAGATCAACGCTCCCAATTCCATGTGGATGTGTGCACACATTATCAATTTCTATGATGAAGACCCGATAAAAAGTTATGGAGGAAGTAGATAAAATTCTAAAGATTTCTCACTCACTCTTACAGTAATTTTGTATAGTTTTGCTAATCAAGTTATTATCAGTTTTCCTAGTGACCAGTTCACGTAATTATCTACCATAGTCATCTCATAATTCCTTATTATACACGATCAGAATTCTGCCGGTTTTGTTGGGTAGCGTTACTTCTCTCGATCCCGCTGCTTTAAAACAAAATAGGCTTTTGTGATCACGTCACGTGCCGCTAATTGAGAAAGGTTATCAATTCCGTTTCAACAAAGACTTCAGTACTGAAGCTTTAAGCACGATCTGAAAGTGCCATTACCGTACAGCGTACTTGCTTCTAAAACCAGGCTGATTAAAACTGATATTTGGATGATGGAAAAACGGTTGACATGTTTTGCTGCCGATCAGCGCTGTCCTCAGTTTGCTAGGACTCAGATTTCAAGTTCAAGGAAGTACTCTCGGTTAGAGGAATTTCATATTTGTACTTTGAGTGATATACATGATGATCTGAAACTTGCTTTAGTGTCAACGAGGCAAGGTAATCAATGACTTCTATTTTACACCTTGTAGTGTAATTGAATCGATATTTGATGCTGGTCTCTAATGATAAAATTTTGTGAATTATTATCTTGATTCAGCACAGTCATAATCAAACCGGAAGGAATGCAATTCAGACCATAAACTAGAATAAATCAATGACTTGCTTCTGTATGTTGTTTTCAAGTCAGTGTACAGTAGTTGAAGTCTCAAAAGTCAGCAAAGTCTACCGACTGTCGACCCTGTCAATTAAAGATACCTAAAACACAGCTTTTTTGATACTTGTTTAAAGAGAATAATATCATTTTAGTTTAATTGTATTTTTTAAAAACAGTATTTTTCCTTCAAGGTCAGACTCGTCTTTATGGCTGATCCCAGTACACATTTTTTATGGGACATCGAAATATGATTTTAACTTTTAGAAGCGCAAAAACGCGTGCAGAAATAACGAAAGAGACTTTGTTTCCGGATTGAAAGAAGATTTCTCATTTATTGCTTCCTTTCATATAATTAATGACTTAAACGTAGGATAATTTCTTTTTCTCTCAAGGCCACACGCTCCATTACGGCTGTTCCCGGTACACATTTTATGCTGCATCTCAACAGAACTCAGTTGATTTTGATAATAGTAGAAGCGCGTGCAAAGTTTATGGAAGTGACCTTGTTTCTATTGAAAGTAACGAGGAGTGGAACTTTCTGAAAGACACTGTAAACAAATTTCCACAGAGTGGAACCGAATACTACATTGGCTTAACCAAAGACAAAGACGGGCGTTGGAGGTGGATCAGTAATAACAGCACAGTGGAGGGGACTGGGAAGAGCATGATGGCCGACAGTCGCAAAAAAATCTCTCTCTGATTCCTTCATTCGGAAAGGGACAGACGCCGCTATATAAACACCCTCTGATCATATAATCATCTTTAAAACAATGTCTAAACGGAATCAACGTGAAACACGTTCTTCGAGTTCATCTTCTTCACAGTATCAACCATCGCCGAAACGCTTGCTCCGCGATGGGACGCCAGGTAAGGACGACCATCACGTCTCACTCGGCAACATTATGGATAAGTTGTGTAACTTGGAATCTCGAATGGAAGACCTCTTCGGCAGTCTAAAATCCGAGTTATCATGTCTTAGACATGAACTCAACGAAGAAATTGAGAAAGTAAAATCGACAGTAAATGATATGGAAACATCATTGAACGCGGCGTGGGACACAATCAAAGATCTCCAAGATGAACTAAAAATACACGCAGAATTCCGAAAGAAACATAAAGAAAGTTTGGAAAAACACCTCGAGGACAATGGTGTTTCACAAAGCGCTAAAGCAAAAATTGCTCTGCAGGAGAGTCAAATCAACCTTTTAAATACGAAGCTATCCGAGGAACAGGAAAAAATCATCGCACTGGAAAACTACTCTCGCCGAGAGAATCTCCGATTTATGAATATACCGGAGCAAGAACACGAGAACTGCACTGACACCGTTTATGATATCGTCGAGAACGGGTTGAACATAAACACACAGAATATATACTTTCATGCTGTCCACAGAGTCGGTAAGCCACGTTCGCCTGAGGACTCCCATCACCATCCCCGACCCATCATTGCGCGTTTTCTCTGCCGGGAAGATAGGGACCGTGTTTTTAAAGCGAAAGGAAGATTGAGACACTCGACGGATTATCCAGACGCGTATATAACTAAAGACTATGCAAAGGCGATACAGCTTGAAAGAAAGGAACTAATTAAAGCGATGTTCATAGCGCGGAAGAAAGGCATGAGCGCGAAAGTAGTGGACAGAAATCTAACATACCCGACGAACTTAAACCTGCAGCTGAATCTACACGCTCGTAGAAGTTTTCTTTACTCAGGTCAGTGTAATTCGATTTTTCTCAGTTGCCTTTGCATTAATTGCTATGGCAACCTTTAAGACCGAGACTAGTACTCCACGTTTGCTTCGCCGTTTGCACATAACGGATTCTTTCCTTTTTGTATATTGTTCTAAAGTTAAACTATTTGGCGTTCCGTCCTTTCCGGATTCGTCGATCTTTCTGTTTGAAGGTATGTTCTCCCTAAGCCGCTTAAATTTTACCTTTTTTTTGTTTTTGTTTATAGTTTTATGTTTCCAGTGTAGCCGTTGTTTTGGTTTTTCGGTCAGTAGAAAATATTTTTCAGTCCTACGAAGTGTTAACTATCGTAATTTGCATTTTGTTTCTGCATTCCAGTTCACTACTTTTAATCATCAACAAGTTCCCAATTGACGAATTGATAATCTGTTCTCTTAATGTGAGGGGCTTATCCAACAACCTTAAGAGGCGAGAAACCTTTCGTTGGCTTAGAATGAAAAAATTTGGAATATTCTTTCTTCAAGAAGTCCACTGCACCAAAGAAAAAGAACGACTGTGGTCATCATCAGAATGGGGCTTCTCAGCTATTTTTAGTAGTGTTTCTAGCTCAAGTGCAGGGGTATGCATCCTGTTTAACAACAATTTTCAATTCGAAATCAAGAAACAATTTTCTGATCCAGATGGAAGATTTATTTTAGTAGATTTGAAACTTGAAAATAAGACTATAACCTTGGGAAACATTTATGCGCCAAACGATGACAATCCGAATTTTTTTAAAAACGTTCTCAGCCACCTCCTCTCTTTCGAGTGCGAGGACATTATCCTGGGTGGCGATTTTAATCTAGTATTGGACGTCCAAAATGATAAGAAGGGAGGAAGACTGACCACTCACAAAAATTCTTTGAAGGAAGTTCAGAACATAATAAATTCGCTAGACCTTATCGACATTTGGCGGGTCTCCAATCCGGATATCAGAAGATTCACTTGGAGAAGAAGCAAACCCGAAATTCATTGTCGCTTAGACTTTTTCTTGACGAGTAATAGTCTAATTTCGGCAATTACAAAAGCTGATATTTTACCAGGGTACAAAACAGACCATTCTTTGATAACGCTCCACCTTGCAAACAATACCAATCCCAGGGGCCCGGGCTTCTGGAAGTTAAATACGTCTTTTCTATCAGACAGTGAATATATTAATTTGATAAAAACAACAATCACTGAAGTTGCAAATGAATACCAAAATAACACTGAGGTTGATGCCGTGCTCCTCTGGGATACAATGAAGATGCAAATTCGTTCAAAGTCGATACAATACGCAAAACATAAGAGAGGCAAAATGAAGTTAACAGAAACAAATCTGGAGTCTGTCATAACGTCCCTACAGAGGATACTGGAAGAAAATGACTTATCTGAAACCAGCAAGACCACTATATATAATGAATTAGAAGTTAAAAAATTACAGTTAGAAAACGTTGTCCAGCGTCAAACTCGAGGAGCCATGATAAGATCCAAAGCCCGCTGGCATAACGAAGGAGAAAAAACACGAAATACTTCTTAAACTTGGAAAAAAGGCATTTTAATACCAAAACCATAAGGCAACTTCAGCTTGAGAATAGTAGCGTCATCAAAACAGATGAGGAAATCTTAACAGAAGCAAAATCTTTCTATCAAAACTTATATGCATCACGCGTGCCTGATATCTCTGCTCACGACGCTTTTTTCTTCTCCGAAGAATCTACGGTAAAACTCGACCAACAGGCGCAGGAAGAATGCGAAGGGCCCTTAACAAAAGAGGAATGCCTAAATAGTCTAAAAACTATGGCATCGGACAAAACTCCTGGGACTGATGGCCTTCCAGCCGAATTTTATAAGGTTTTCTGGGAAGACATTGAAGGCTACTTACTTAATGCACTAAATGGTGCATATGAAAACGACGTTTATCAATTTCTCAAAGAAGAGGTCTAATTACTCTTTTACCAAAAAAGAACAAACCGGCTAACCTTTTTTAAAGAACTGGAGACCTATAACTCTTCTCAATTGCGACTACAAGATTGCAGCTAAATCCATAGCAAACCGCATGAAGAAATTTTTGCCGAACATAATAAATAATGATCAAACCGGTTTTTTGAAAAACAGATTTATAGGAGAAAATATCAGACTTATTGAGAGCATTATTAACCACACAAATATGGAACAAATCCCGGGCCTGTTGTTATTTGTAGATTTTGAAAAAGCCTTCGATTGTATAGAGTGGTCTTTTATAGAGAAAACACTAAGACACTTTAACTTTGGAACATCCTTGGTAAGCTGGGTTAAACTTTTTTATACGAACATAAGTAGCTGTGTCCTTAACAATGGATGGGCATCCGACTTCTTTTCTTTACATCGTGGAGTAAGACAGGGGTGCCCACTGTCGCCCTATTTATTTATCTTAGGTGCTGAAATCTTGGGTAACGCAGTGAGAAGGGATACAGAAATTCGCGGTATCAAATTGGGTAACTCAGATTGTAAACTGTCCCAATATGCAGATGACACAACAATGATCTTAGATGGCTCAGAACGCTCTTTTTCGAGAACATTATACGTACTAGACATATTTGCAAATGTATCAGGTTTGAAAGCAAACTATGAGAAAACTGAAGCCCTCTGGATAGGTTCACACAAGAATACTAATGCCGTTATTCCTTCGAGTAAACCTATCTTTTGGGCAGAGGGAAAGGTCTACGCCTTAGGAGTTTGGTTCTCGACATCGAGGCCAGCCAATATTGACAATAATTTCACTGAGAAAATCGAAAAGATTAAAAAAATCCTCGGGAGCTGGTCGGCCAGAAGACTCACACTTATGGGTAAAATTGCCATTCTAAAAGTTCTAGCAGTATCTCAGATTGTTTACGTTTTATCCTCCCTTCCGACACCGAAAGGGGTCATAAAGGAAATTAACGCTCTGTTATACGATTTTCTTTGGGATAGCCTGCGTAGCAGGCGCTTGGAAGTAGTGGGCACAAGAAAAAAAGGGCGCGCGAGAAGGAGACACGCGAGGGGAGAGGAAGCGCCTGCACGGAAGGCCCCCGAATATCGTTTCCCGCCCCGTCTCTAATTACTTGGCAGCCGTTGCGTGATCTGTCAAAAGTTTGACAGAAAACGACTGACCTCGCACAAACAAAGCAAGCCGCCAAAAGCGTTGTACATTTTATCTTCGGTCTAAATATATCTGTTATAAAGATCAGCTGGGTTATATGATTATAGAGCGATGGAGCAATAAACTGATGGTTAACAGACAGCTTTAAATCGTTTTTTAACATGGGCACAATAAATAGGAAATAACAAAGTCAAAACTGCGTATCTTTTAAAGAATGCATGCTGTGTATTATAAAAAATAAAAATATCGTTCTGGTCGGACACCAACGATCACAGCGTACGTGGAAAATGACCATATTGCTTTTACTGCGCTAACTGGCAGCCGTTTTTGGAGCAGACATGTCTTACTAAGCGGACCTAAACCTCAGAACACAAACTGTAGCGACATGCATGTTTTCTACTGCAGTAATGAGACATAAACAACAGACCTCAGGTCGCCTCCGAACGGCGAATAATACAATAGTGAAATGTTTTTTTCAAATTCATGCCCCTGGCAAGTGTTTCATTTCATCAATCATGTCCAAGTTTTGATGGTATACGTTCCATCGACAACACAAGCCGCCAAGTTCTCCTGAGCAAAGAATATTTCCTCTGATCTTCATTGCAACGATTCGGCAAATCTTTTGTCTCTCGCCACTTCTGCTAATGCGTATCTGATGTCAATTCTTTCCATCGTGAATACCGTTTGAACACTCCAACTTTTCTTTGAGATTACAGCCACATAGTCCCATTAAACCAGATTGAAGTGACCTCCGAGACCTGAACTTCGATTGTATACAATTTAGTGGTTTCAGGACCCAGTGGTGTAATGCAAGATCTTCACTACGTTGTCCATGTACTATTGACTGACAGTTTTCTAGCCCCGCGCGGTTAATTTTTCCCTCGGGAGCCTCTCGACCAATTGGAAATATCCGCACTCACAGAGTGCGAGTTGAAACGATTTTCGGGGGCCTTCCGTGCAGGCGCTCCCTCACCCCTTGCGTGTCTCCCTCGCGCGCGCCCGCTTTCTCTTTCGCCCGCTACTTCCAAGCGCCTGCGACGCAGGCTACTTTGGGACAATAAAGGGGACAAAATAAAAAGAACAGAATTGATCAACGATTACAGTAAAGGGGGGCTAAAGATGATCGATGTTGCTAGTTTTAACCAGGCCCTAAAAATGAAATGGGTGAAAAGCTATTTAGATGATCAAGATACAGGGAAATGGAAGCTTTTTTTTAGAGGACCCAAAACCAAGACCTTTGGGCAAACATTATTAGCCTCAGAAAAAGCCTGTAAAACTGTTTACAAATCAATTATCGAAAAAAAGGCCACCACCCCTCTTAAAAGCCAGGGAAAATGGCTGTCTAAGGAAAATATAATAGGAAATGCGAGTGTGAACTGGGAGAATACATACCGCCTCCCCTTTCTGTGTACAACAGAAACAAAGTTACGAGTGTTCCAATTCATGTTCCTCCACAGACGAATAGCAACAAACGACTTCCTCTTTAAAATCGGCCTAAAACAAGCAGACTCCTGTTCTTTCTGCGGGGAATTTACTGAAACCCTTGCCCACTTGTTCTGGTATTGCAGTTACACTCAAAAATTCTGGAAAGACATTTATCAATGGATAACTCAAAACACCACCTTAAACAAATCCACTGCCTTCTCTCCTCTTATCTGTCTTGGACTAATTGATAATATCTCTGATTTATTACTACATCATCTTTTCCTTATCGCCAAACGATATATTTACACATGTAAGTTAAATAACTGCAACCCTGCGCTACAGGTTTATATACAAACCGTTATGAACTCCTTGGAAATTGAAAAAGAGATTGCCTGTAATAATAACAATATGTCC